CAGCGTCCACCCCCCATCTGTGCATGCAATGGCTGCTTGGGGGAATGTGGAAGGAGCAAGCAGCATGTGACAGTAGATCTGTGACCTGGACTCCACTGTGAGCATGGTCTGGCTCGGGTGTGTGGGAGTGCAGGCTTTCCGTGGAGGCTATCTGCTTTTCCTGCTTGCAGGTCCAGTGCTTCTGGACCTCCTCTGGCTCTCACCAGCAAGGGTTCATCCAAGTAGGTCACAGAAGAGGAAGTCAAAGTACAAGGAAGAGATGTGAGGGGGTCTAACTCTTCCTCAAAATACACTACTCTAGACAGACTCCCCAGCCACTCAGGAGGAGAAGCCCTACCCCGGGCACAAAAAGCCCCGCTTTCTGAAGACCAAGCTAACAAACTGGAAAGAGAATGCGGTTATTGACTAGATGTAGCTACTGTTGACTGAGTCCCTAATGTGAGCTGGAACTGTGCCAGGTGCTTTCTGCATAGTTCTTTTACTGCAATAACCCAATCTTATTAGGCCCATTTCACAGATGAGCAAATCAAGGAGAGAAAAGATGAAGTGACTCGATTCAACTCACACAGCATCTAATTGTCAACAGAAAGTCTAAGCCCAGTCTGTCTGATAATTTGGCTTGAAAATAAAAACAGATCTTCTTGGTCAAACCTTGGTTCCAGCTGAGGTGTATGCTTATTCTTTATCCTCTTTAACCGAGGCAGAGAGGAAGAACACAAAGCAGTCATTTCTTCTCTCTCCAGAAAAGACTGCTGAAGAGCAAACAGGCACAAAGCAGTCATTTCTTCTCTCTCCAGAAAAGACTGCTGAAGAGCAAAAAGACTGCTGAAGAGCAAATCATCATCTACAGGTTCACATCTACGCTCTGTCCACCTGATGGCCGGGGGGGGACTCTGTTTCCTCCTTGGTAAAAAAGAGCCGAGAATGCTCACCTCCCAGGGTGGTTGTGAGAGTGAAATGTGCAAGCACAAAACAAGCACCTAGCACAGTGCCTGGCACCTTGAAGACACCCAGGAACCACTGGTCTCCCTCCTGCCTTTAAGTGTCCTTAGTCCACAAAGACCGAGACCTTTGGAAAATCATGAGCACTTAGTATATACCAGATCCTGATTTGAGCACTTTTCATATATGAGCTATTTAATGGATAGATACTCATACTATCCTAATTCTGTCGACAAGGAAGCTGAAGCCCAGAGGAGTCAACTAGTTTGCCCAAGGTCACACAACCAGGTAGGGCAGAGGTGGATTCCCACTTGGGTAACCTGACTACTAAAATGGGCTTCTAACCATTGCAATATTCTAGACATCCCATGAACTACAAATGCCAGAGAGAATAGTATTCATGTATGAACTCCTAGAACCTAGCTTTCTCAAGTTGGGAAAATGCAGGAATTCTTTTTGGGCGGTGGGTGGATAGTAGGAAGTGGAAATTGTAAAAGGGATGGGGCAAAAAAAGACTTCTGAGTAGCCAGCAAACTCAGTCCAACATTTAGAACGAAAGAAGAAAGCATGGGGAGGGGGGAGGGTATTCCTGAATGGGGTTCAGGTAAATACCTTTCTCCTCTGAGCAGGGATTCTGGATCACTATGGGGTGGGGTGGGAGGAGGGCAGCACTTGTGGGGTCCACATTTCTTTCATCTAACAGGTCAGGAGAAACTTTAACAAGATTAACTGCTGCTCAGGGCCTCTGCTCCATGGAGCAAATTGAACTCATTGTTTTCGTTTTCTTTCTCTTTCAAACTGGAGGGCCCTGGGGGGGGAGGAGGGAGCACTTGGGGACAAGGGGCAGGGGTCTGGATCCTGGATGGTATGGTAAAAAAAACAAAGGGATGCATCAGAAAACCCCTACCCCAGCACTTGAAAGATAGCCCCAATAGTCATGCATAAAGACTGAAGGCTGTGCCTGGGTGCTGGGTCTGTGAGGGGTGATGGTGTTTATTAGACACGTTCTCTCCATGGTGTAAGTGGGATGAGGCATGAAAGTCAGGATGCCTGGGATTGAATCCCCGTTCCTGCCACTGAAGACCTGTCATCCAGGACACAACCTTCCTCTGTTCCTATCTCTGCCTCCCTATTCAGCCAGAGAGAGAACTAGCACCAGTAGCCTCCCAGTAGCCTTAAAGTATTGGCCAAGCCTGAAGTCCACCCCTTGTTGGGGGTCATCCAGAGAATCCTGCACACGGCACTTTCTCTAACTTACCTTTGTTTTTGCCTGCACACGCCTTTCCTTTTATATTTATTAATATATATCTGTTTTCATATATATATATATATATATATATATATATATATATATACACACACACACACACACACACACACACACACACCCCTTCCTTTTTGGGAAAATAAAAGGCATGTTTTCTGAGCTTCAGAAGCAAACCATTCCTTCCCTCCTTCCCTCTGCCTCTCCAATCGCCTGTCTGAACTGGTGTCAGTGAAGTTTGAACGGGGGCAGAAATAGCATCCCAGGCAGATCTGGGAGCTCGGCCCGCCTACCAGGAGCAGCAAGGCCTGCCTCTGCCAGACGACAGACCCGGTTAACTGCACCGTAAAATTAGACCTTTGCGAAACCCAGTCGAATCCTGCAGCAAAGAGTGATGTAAGGCAACCTCTGCCTGAAATAGCAGCGCTGTCCCGCTGAGAGATGCCTGCTCTCTCCAGATAGGTGACCAGGGATTCCTAGGAAAGTGGCAAAGCCCAGCCTCCGAGAGCCAGCAGAGGTCAGGCAGCAAACTTGGGCCCTAGTTCTCAGGCAGCAGGAGGATATGGTTAGGCACCTGCATCCCCTCTGCCCCACCTGGGCCCTGCCTCTCCCAGCCCAAACTTAATCGAAGGGAGAAAGGGAGAAGCTGAAAAAGCGCTTCTGCAAAGAACCTCTGTTTGCTTTTTAATTCAAGGAGAAGCAGGTTCTTTTTCATCAGTCTCTCCCGTGTGGAGGATACGCAGAATGAGTCTTTTCTGGCTCAATGCCAGGTGTTTACACACCGCCAAATCTGGCTCCAACTCAACTAGGGGAGGGGGAAAAAATCCACCAGTATCCTCCGGAGAAAAGCTCCTGGTTTTCTGGTGCTGCGCTACAGCAGTGCTTTTTTTTTTTTTTCCTTTTTGAGAGGAATGTTATTTCCACACATAAAATGGACCAGGCATTTTATACAAGCAATAATAACCTAGCGTCCCCCATCCAATTAAAGTATTTTACTGCACAAATCTTTGTGTGGGAGAGTGACGGAGTGCAAAGGAGAACACGTGTGGAGAGAGGCTCCTTGTCTGAATTACAATTGCAAGCACGCTCCCGTGCAATCCCAGGTGTTACATATATGTTTAAATGCATTTACTGCCTTTTCAGCGATGATACCTCTATAAGCCTGGGCTCTCCCCTCTGGAAGGGAAGCCTTCCAAATCATTGGTTATGACAGGTAAACACGGTGAAAAAACAGATCCTCTCATCTTTTAAAAATCCTCTCCAAGCAGCAGGCTCTATGCTTCTCCGATGTTCCCAGAGAGAAGTAAACATACCGCAGTCCTGAATTATCATCATCACCATTATTATGAATAACGTCTCTCCTCTACCCTATATTCTATCCCGCTCTGGGTGATGAGGGCTTGGGGGCTGAAAGTGAATGAGCTCACTTTCTCTCTCCTTCCTGGGGAAAACGGAGGAAAAAAATAGCATGCGATGACGTCAGGTATGGGGGGGGGAGAGAAATCACTTTCTAGTTCTTGGTTTGGTAGCAGGAGAGTGGGAGCTTTAGGGGCACATTCTCGGCACAGTAATTGAATTGGGGGTCCCCTGAAATGGGCTTCATGTGAACAGGACAGAGTCAGAGCTACCTGGGAGGGAGTCCACCCAGAAAGGAGCAGAGCTGCGGAAGAGCTTAGAGCTCTCCCTTCTAAGAAAGTGTGTGTCAGGGGGTGGGATCGCAAAACGCTTCCTCACGTTCCTGGCTGCAGCTGAGGGGGAACCCCTTCTCTGGCTTTAAGACATCCCAGGACTTGGCAAGGCTGTTTGTGCAGGAAGGGAATCTCCCAGCCAGAAGAGGCAAAACTTTCCTTCTCTCCTCCAGCGCCACCCCACCTCGGTCCCCCGGTTTTATTAAAGGCATTGCCACAGACTCATTTTGCGAGGGTATGGATTTTGGAGCACTTCTTAGGTTTGCAACCCTCCAAGAGTGTCCGGTTTCACTCTGGGCTTTGCTATGGAACCGGGAAGGGGACAGAGAGGGAGGGTGAGGAGGGAGAACTCAAAGTCCCAAATGAGAAAAGCACCCCGTTCAGCAGCCAAGTCCGGGAAGACTGGCAGGCAGGCAGGCTGTGCGTGAGGAAGGTCTTGCCTCAGCCCCGAGGGGCAGGCAACAGGCTTTAAAAGTGAGGACATGGATGGTTCTGTGTGTGTGTGTGTGTGTGTGTGTGTGTGAGTGGTGTTTGGCTGGGAGGAAACGGGTCAATCCCAGAGGCAGAGATCAAGCAGAGAGCAACTTTGGGGGCACTTCAAGGATTTCTAAATCCAGGAGATTACAACAACCTCGTCCTAGCAGGCTTTCAGGATAACCGGGTCAAGTGAAGGGGGTTACCTCCATTAAAAAGTCCAAGAAAGCAATGGTCCCCTAGCCTCTTTCCACATGCATCCCAATTGGGTCACCCTCCCCTCCATCCCAGACAGACAGCACTTTGGACCATCCCGAAAAAGGCTCCTGTTCTCCAGGCTCCCGGGGAGAAGCTCTTACTCACCGACCTCAGGTCTCCGGACCTCCCGGACCGCTCCCTGACGCCAACCCCGGGACTTAAGTGGAAACACCTTGTGAGAGCACCCATTCCTCAGATGGGGCAAAGTGAGCCCGGCGGCTCGTAGCGGGAGCCTCCGCGCCTCCGGATGGGCGGCTCCCGCACAGACACACCCGTCCACCCCGGGACCAGCCCGCCGGCCGCCCGCGCCCAGACCACCGCGCGCCCCCGGGGCCGCGGGGCCGGTGCAGCGCCCGCGGGGCGCCCTCGCCTACCTGTGATCACCGCCGGCGATCTCTGGCCCCCCTCCGCTCGCAGCCACACTTGCAGCGTGAACGCGTCCCGGGGCAGCTCGAGGTCGGCCCGCAGGCGCAGCTGCTCGCCTCGCCCGCTGAAATAGAGCGCCCGGCTCGGCGGGCTCGGCTCCTCGGCGGCGCCCCTCGCCTCCCGCTGCTGCCGCCGCCGGGGGACGCGCACGGCTTCCCAGGCACCGCCCGGCGGCGGAGGCGGCGGCGAGGCGCGGCGGCCGCGGGCCGCCCGGGTGGCGCAGGTGGCCGGGCCGGCGGCGGGGCGCGGAGGGCGGCCGGCCCGCGGGTCTCTCCGGGCCCGGCGGGAGCGCTCGGCCAGCCCGCAGCCCAGCGCGGCGCTCAGCAGCCCCAGGCGCAGCACCCAACTCCAGAGCCGCATGTCCGACGGTCCCCCCCGCCCCCCCTTCGCCCCTGCACCGCCGCCCGGAGCTGCCAGCTTTGGGAGACTCGGCGCCTCGACTTTCTTCGCTTCTTCACCCTTCTTGGGCGAGCCCCCCCTTTCACTTGGCTTTTTTCTTTTTCTTTCTCGCTTTCCTCCTCTCAAGGTGTGTGCTCCACTACCCCCACCTTTGAAAAATACAGCCCAACTCCTCCTGGTTGGCAATTAATTTCTCTCCCCGCTCCTTTATCTGCCTTATCCCCCCCCCCCCCTCTTAACAGCTGGTTGCCTTCCTCCTTGTTTTATTTCATTTTATTTTATATGATTTCTTGCTCTACCAAAAAAAAAAAAAAAAAAAAAAAAAAAAAAAAAAAAGCTCCTCTAAGACACCGCTCCGCTGAATTCCCTCCCCCCCAAAAGATGCTCTAATTTATTTATATTTTGCGTCCTTTATAACACAAGCCACAGCCCCCTTTTCCCCCCACCGGTCCCCCCTCCCCTCCCTCCTTCTTCACAAAATGAAAGGAAAGGGGGGGGGGGAATCCCTCAGAAGATGAGTAAACAAGCGTATGCTAATCTGCTCCCGAGCGCTCCACCTTCCCAATTGAATGAGTCCCTGTTAAAACTGCGGGGATCATGACTAATCAATCAGTTTGGAGAGGCCAAGCTACCCAGCCTGTCTCCACTTTGCCTTTTGCCTCTTTCCCTCGCTCCCGCTTCTCCACCCCCTCTCTCCCTCTCTCTTTCTCTTTTTTTAAAGAAGACAATCTTAAAGTAACAATTTAATGAAATTCTGTACACACCCCCTTATGGTCCTCCCAGCTCTCCTCATTCCTGCTCAAAACACACACATTCCTGTTTTTGTTTTGGTTTGCTTGCGTTTGTTCCCTCCTTCATCCCCCCTCCCCTCCTCCTCATTATTATTGTTCCCCCTCCTGGAGGAAGAGGGGAAAAAATAAAACACCTTTCTCTTCTCTCAGGATCTCCTTTGCACTTTGCTGGTAAACCTCATCTTTCGCTATAGCACATAAAGAGTCTTGAAACTTGATTCTCAGATTTTTTTTTAATGCTGTCTCTCCCTTTCACTCTCCTCTCTTACCCTCACTCTTTTCTCTTTCTTTCCTCCTCCTCCTCCTCTCCTCCTCCTCCTCCTCCTCCTTCTTCTCTCTCTCTTTCTCTCTCTCTCTCTCTCTCTCTCTCTCTCTCTCTCTCTCTCTCTCTCTCTCTCTCTCTCTCTTTCTCTTCTCTTCTCTTCTCTCTCTTCTCTTCTCTTCTCTTCTCTTCTCTTCTCTTCTCTTCTCTTCTCTTCTCTTCTCTTCTCTTCTTCCTCTCTCCCTTTCCCTTCTCTCTTGCCTTTCCTATCCTTCCCTCCCTTTCTCCTCAGAATTACCTTCAAGTTATGCAATGATGAAAGTCCCCCCTCTTCTCTGAGCCCCTGTGTTGCTGGCTTCAAGGGGTCCAAAAGCTGCCCTCCGAAGAATAAACCCCAAGGAATGGCATTTTCCAAGGCATTTGCCTTTCAGAAGTTGTGGACTCAGCACAGCCCAGGGCTCTCACTTTTCCTGAATAGCCTCAAAAAATATTCTGTTGGTTATTAGACATTATTTTAGTTTAATATTGAAAAATAAGAATGAAATATTTGCCTATTTAAAAAAAAATCAACCTGAGAAATTCAGGTTCTCTAACATTGTTCAAGTCCCAGGTAAGGACCTGACTGATGTGCTGCTTTGTAGGTCTGTTTTGAACTGGCACATAGACGTAATGTATTTTTGTTCTTGTTCCCCCTCTTTATAGAACTCAAAAGCTCCCCCTTATGGCAAAAACAGTTTTCTTTTCTTTCTTTCTTTCTTTTCTTTTTTTTTTTTTTTTCATCCAAGTGTTTAATAAGTCAAAATGAGTTAACAGTGGTGGATTACACATTACCACCAGTCTGTTCAAATAATGTAGTGATAAAAATATGCTGTGTGAGGTTTGCATGTGGGTAGCATGCTGGAAGCCTGGGGGTGAAACGTACTCTACCAATGTGCCACTTCACTCCCCACATGCTCTGGTCCTCGGGGCTGCTCCAGATGCTATCTGAGAGCTGGGCTCATTCCTACTCTTAGGGAAAGGGAACACCAGTGGAGAATAAGTGGTTGTGAAACTCTGCAGAGTTGTAGAATGAGCAAGTGAGTCAGACGTCCCCTCTATAAAAGCCAGAAAGCAGCATGCAGGGATTATGACACCATTCTGAAAACAGGAGAGCCCAGATTCAGATCTTGGTTTGGAAGGAACATGCCATATAGTCCTGGGCCAAGAATGTTTGAACTCAGTTTCTCCAGTTATAAAATGAAAATGGCATCCTATTCTATTATACATGTGTTTCCAGAGACTGGGTGGGAAGAAGTGCCATGGATAAGGAATTTGCCTAAGCAAATCTTTCAATTTCTGCAATGCCAACTCATCTAGAAAAGCCATGAGGTTGCCATTCAATTAAAAACAAAACAAAACAAAAAACAAAGGAAAAAACACACACCTATATTAAAGGATATAAATTATATCTCACAAAATCCCTCTCTTTCCTCAATAGAAGTTGGAAGATGTCTACTAATTCACTTCACTTGAGGCAATTAGTCATTTGGAAACTCTATTTCTTCCAGGGGCTGCTAAGTCATTGTATACAATGGTTTTGAATATTTCTAGAAGTTTGGAGCTTTGTCAACTCTTCCAGGATGTTAGAACATGAGGGCTATAGTTCTCAGTTCCTACTCACTCCAATACATGTCAGTGCTATGCCCTGAGTTGCTTCACTAGCCCTGCACTTTCTCACTTTTAAAATGGGAATAGGCATTTCACAATATTATTTTGAGGACAAAATATGCTCTTCAACCATACAAATGCTATATAAACACCATTTAATCTACTGCTGTTGTCAAGGACTAAGAGCTCCTTAGGTTCTTAAAGACAAACAACGTCTGGGAACCCCGGCTTTCATTGCTGTCCTGTAGCAGCACAGAGGAATGGACAAAGAGATCCACATCTCAGAGGTCCTGGAGCCACTAGACTCTGCCCCTAGACGTATTGGGAGCAATTGGCAAAGCCTTGGACTGGTCTTTCCTGGAACATCCATTTATTATTCTATCTCACCTGTCTTGAAAGCCGCTCTTTTATGCATGTATGTATCTACACATTCTGTATGTGTGTGTTTGGTTTTGACTGAGTGGATAGACTGGGTAAACTGTAACCTTTGGTTCATGACCCACTGTAATCATTGGCCTATGCATGGCATTCTTATTTATTTATATGTAATAAGTGATATGTCACATGCTGCTATCCTGCTTTTGCTCCCTTCCTTGATCTTTCATTATCTGTAGTCAAGGAGCAATCATCGGAGAGTGAGGAGACTTGGGTTCTCATTCTGAGCTGTGTGAGACCTTGGACCTCAGCTTGCTCTTATGTGAAGCGAAAGAACAGGAGGTGAAGATTCCTAAGGTTACTTCCAAATAAGAAGTGCAATGGAGCCTTCAATTATTGCAGTGTGACAATAATTCTCATTTAATCATCTCAATTCCCTCTCACCCTCCCCCCACCCTAAGGAGTCCCTTCTTCCTGGGGATTTTTGTCCTAAAAACTACTTTTTTAGAATAAAATTAGTTCTGTCCCTCCACTCTTATTACTTGGCAATAAATAAAAACAAGGTGTTTGCCAGAGAAGGGGTCAGGGTCTAGTGGAAGTTAGGAGAGTAACAACACCTAGGTGGAGTCTTAAAGTTTGGGAAGGGTTTGAGGAAGTGAGGGAGGGTCAAAGTACACATTTCAATCACCCTGCCCTGGGCTCCTATGACCTCCAGCAAGCCTGAGATTCTCTGAGTCTCAGTGGCCTTATTATGGATGTGTCCAGAGGCAGTGTGCTGTGACACATAGTAGGTGCTCAATAAATGAGTAACCTTTTTTTTTCAGGATCTAAATGCTATGCTGCACTTTCAATTAAGAGCCAGAGCCCCACCTCCTTCTTACTCCAAGGCAGAAGGATAAATCTCATCTCAGAATTCCTAGGCAGGCATTGTCTGGCTGGTAGGATCAAGAAGGAGATTAGATCTTGCATTGTTCTCAGTTTCCTTTTTAAATCTCTCCTCCAAGATTGGAAGCCTTCAGGGCAAGGATCTTCAAGGGCCACTTCAGCCACCACATCCCTCCTCCACTAGCCTGAAGGGCTCCCTCCTCTGGGCTGTCCTAGAACTTCCTCTGAATTTCTCTGGGCACATCCCCAAAACCAACTATTATATTTAATTACACATGTGCTTGTCTCCCCTTTCTGTGCAGACAATGATTCTGTTGCATTCACATTTGTGTATAGATAAATGCTTAGTCCAGTACTTTGTACATATCTCCTGCTTTAGTACCATTAAATTTAATTAAATATGTACATACAAATGCACACATATACAGATTTACACATATGTGTACATTTATATTTGTAAAAAATGTATTTTTTTTGCTTCTTTAGTTTTTTTCTGTCGTGCCAATATGTTCAATGCTCTGAACACACTAGGTTTTTAAAAATTTTAATAATTTTGCCAGTCTTTCCCAAATGATACACCTATGGACATCCAGACAGATACATTGAAGTTCATTGGCTGCCAAGTTGAGAATCACTAGAAAGAATGAGAACTTGTGAGTAGAAAAAATTTGGATTCAAAGCCTATCTTTGCTAAATAATGATCCTAATAACAGCTTACATTTATTGAGTATGCACTGTGTTCCAAGCAATATTTAAATGCTTTTTATAGGAATGATCCCATTTAATCCTCCTAAGGAGCCTACAGAGGAGGACCAGTAATCATTCTATTTTATAGGAGAAAAAAAAATCTGAACACCCTGAATCACAGTGACCAAAATGGAGAGCTCAGCCAATCTGCATCTAGCACTATGTGTTCTAGCTTTAGAGGCTAGGAAGAATTCCCTAACCTTTTTTATACTGTTCTTCATTTTTATAGATGTCATAGAGTTACCTGGGGGATTAAATGAGATGAGGGATATCATGTTACATAGTGACTAGTACATATGTCAGTGGGTGTTAACTAAACACCGGCTTCTCTACTTTCTTCCCAACAGTAGTTCCATTCTATTAATTTAGCACATATAGTAGAGTTGTCAATTGTAAAAAATGTGTCAGAGTAATAGTGATCCACCTGCACTAAGCACTGAGTATGTGTTAGATACTTTTCATAAGACCTTTTCACAAGACTAGGAAGTAGATTAGTAGACTCAATCTATCTGAACTGCTCAGCAGTATTCTGTAAATCCCTCTATCTTCTTAACTCATATTAAAACATAAGTTTATTTTCAGCCCTGAGAATATTTTAGCATCTCTACACTCAGTCTGG